CCTGGTCCTTGAGGCACCCCAACACTGCACGTTTTGCATGTCTCCTTAATCAAACACACCTGATTCAGATCATCAACTCATTAGTAGAGACTTTATTACCTGAAATTGGTGCGTCAGAGAAAGGAGACATGCAAAATGTGCAGTGTTGGGGTGCCTCCAGGACCAGGGTTGGGAACCACTGCCTTAAGGTGTAGCATCAACTGGCTCGTTGGTCTAGGGCAGGGGTAGGCAAGTTCGGTCCTAGAGAGCCGCAGTCCTGCAGAGTTCAACTCCAACCCTGAAAAAAAAAAACTCACCTGCCTATAGCCTTAGTAATCCTGAAGACATTGATTAGCTTGTTCAGGTGTGTTTGATTAGGGTTGGAGCTGAACTCTGCAGGACTGCAGCTCTCTGGGACCGAAATTGCCTACCCCTGGTCTAGGGCAGGGTTCCTCAAATCTTGCCCTGGAGGGCCAATGCGCTACAGAGATTAGCTCCAACCCTACTCAAACTCACCTACCTGTGATTTTCTAATGGTCCTGAACAGTTACCAAAAACGTGCAGTGTTGGGGGTTCTCCAGGACCAGGATTGGGAACCACTGATCCTGAAGACATTGATTAGCATGCTCAAGTGTGTTTGATTAGGGTTAGTGCTAAACTGTGCAGGAAAGTGGATCCCGTGGGCAAGGTTTAAGGATCCCTGGTCTAGGGGTATGATTATCACTTTGGGTGCGAGAGTTCCCGGGTTCAAATCCCAACTATTCATTGCCAAAAGTTAAGAGTAAAAAGTCAAGGTTATGACTGCTTACAAAACACTGAAGTTTCCTCTTGAGTGTTGCAGTAACTCTAAAAGCCACATGTAAATCTTTCTTTAAACCTGACCAGTGGCCAAGAAATGGCATTGCTTGTCTAAGATTTTGGAGTACCACTGCCTACTGTAATTTTATCAAAATTTGGAGTGTGGAGACGACTGTATTCAAGACAAAAATAGTTTTTCAAACATTTGATTACTTGAGTGATCGCGCCATCAAAGTAAAATAAAATGAGATAGGCTACTTATTTAGAAATTTTACAACGTGGATGTGTGATGCTTTTTCTGTTGGAATTACGTGTATGGAGCCATGTAGTGTCAAATGGCGACATCTAGTGGTTAACAAGCAGATGTGACGTTCTGAGAGAAGGGTCTGGCTGCAGCCTTGCGTTTGCACTCTCAGACTTGCATTCTCAGGCTTGCACTCTCAGACACTTGCACTTCCGCTAGCGACGTCACTTGCAGTCTTTATTTTTTTTTATTTTGTTCTATTTATTTATTCTTTTTGTTTGAATCTCTCAACATTTTACAACAGTAGCCAGGTGGTGAAGACAAGACAAAAGAAACTAAATTACGAAGTCACTTGCAATCGCCACTTGCACTCTCCGATACCTGTGACGTCACTTGCAATCGACACAAATCGTGCGTGTTGCCAGTGGAGACAAGACGCTGTGGTGGTGATTAAACGATTAAAACTAATTTAGTACCGTAACCTACAGGGTCCTGCAAGCCATCTGTAGGAGAAAAAGACAAGACCCGCAAATCCGTGGCTACAGAACAGCAGAATATTAACGCAATGCGCAAAGTCTCTTGTTAAGCGTTTTCCTCCTGTAGAAAAACATAAACACTTAACATGGCTTAATGTATAAAGATGCTATTAAAATATCACATTCAATATACAGTTTATTAATATAATGAATATGTATATAGTATTTTCTATTGACACACTATTTTCCTAATTAATGCTGTTCAGTTGCTTTGACACAATCTGTATTGTTAAAAGCGCTATATAAATAAAGGTGACTTGACTTGACTTGACATTGTAATTTAGTTTCTTTTTTCTTGTCTTCACCACCTGGCTACTGTTGTAAAATGTTGAGAGATTCAAACAAAAAGTAATCAATAAATATAACTTTATAGTCAGGAGGTCTTTATAGATATGTGACTTTTGATGATTATGACTGACAGCTCTCCTTCATGATAACAGATCCTAAAGCAAACATGACTTTGATAGGCTTCATTATTTGGATGCTCATACCCTGCAGCTGGAGTAAGTATACAGAAATTTGTATAATTCATCAAGTCCTTTATTGTCACTGTGTATGATCAACTAAATGTGAAAAATTATTAGTCCTTGTAGTGCAACAGTAAGAAACATTGTTTGCTCAGCCTGGCAGTGTGAGACTTTAAATGTGCTTATCAGTTTTATATTATTTTACAGTGTTTTCTGTGTCTCTCTTCAGGTTCCGTGGGGCAGATTGTGACTCAATCTGAAGATCAAACAGTGAAGCCTGATCAGACTGTCA